TACGTTATCAACTCAGTTGATAATACTAAATAACCCTGTTACACTCTCCCACCGACGTAGCACCACAGTTTCTTTAGAAACTTACCCCCTTACTTAACTTAACTTGCTTAGGTATGAACAATATTTGTACTATTGAATCTTGTTCCGCCTTGTAAACAATTTCAGCATTTTTGCAATATTTCCGATTAGAAACCTGGAACTAAAAACCCTCCGTTTAAGGTGGCAACCTGGCATTGTAAAAGTTTTCATATATCTATATTTGAATTAAATAAATAACCATGAAACTCAGAGATGTGTCGCTCGGAAACCATCTACCCAAAAACACAGGGTTAGCAACTAAAATTACTTGAAACCAGGGAACCTATCCATCCGTACGGGGGCTTACAAGTATAAAGAATATTAAGAAATTAACATTGCAAGAACAAGAGAACCGGTAAAGTTCACAATATTTGACACAGTCCTCTCTGATGCGGCAAATATGTCCGACATAGTGCCCACTTCCGTAGTGCCCACTTCCTCAGTGCCCACTTCCTTAGAAGTTGTAGAAATCAAACTTGGACACCTGGTAAACTTCGGTGGAACTCGCGTCCATTCTGGTCCCAAGAGAGCAGCGGTTGGTGGAAGAACATTTTTACGAAAATAGTTAACGACATTACCGCCAGGTTTGTACTTGATCGATATAACAAGCCTTTTGTCCTTACGAATTGCCCAAGCAGCCCCAATTTGTCTTGAGTTTTTCCATATCACCTGAGAAATCGCAAACAAAGACAAAAAAAGAAGTGTACTCATAAATGGATATTGCTGTTAAGTAACAATCGTTTTTAGCGGGAAACTGATGCGGGCAGCGGCTATACATAGTTTTATCTTGGAACAAAGATCCCGTTTAAACACCTGTTCATGGGCGAATGTTGTTGATTTGAATAGTACATATGATTATTCCCCCTCCCCGTTCCCTGAGGTGATTCTGTTAAGGTTATGATTTCCATTGCACAAAACCCCTTTTCCTTGGATAAAAGCTTGTTAAATTAGAACCACAGATCACTGAAATGAAACTGTTGAAAGGAAAGCAAACCTGATTCAACATAAGAAAGTTTCTAAGCTATGACTCAAATAAATACCTATTTTCCAAAGAAGGCTTGTGCACAATTCTTTTAACGCACTTTACAACTTCCATATCGTATACATCTTTACTTTCACTTAACTGTACCACCCCAAATATGAAGCAACCGATACATCTGTATTTCCACTTGTATATCTCTGCCCCAGAGCCTACCTGTGTAAAATGTCCGGCTGCCTTGTAGTATTTAGGATTGCTATAGTTATAATCTTTCTCCTCCGAGTGGAACCACTGAACAGCATCAGTGCAATACTCCTTGGGTCTGTAATCTGCCAAGTACAAATTCCCAGGATTCTTGGTACTGTGTTGAAATTTGTCGTTTTCTGCCAGATACTTTACCCAATCTTCCGCCTCCTTTTGAAGTTCCATTGACCACGTGACAGGAGGAGCCTGTAGAAACAAGCATAGGCCACTTGAAAAAAATGCGTGGTGCATGAGCCTCAAATTAATGAGACTGTTTTATGGATATGGCTGACACAAAATATATTTCAGACTGGGGAATTTTGCCAATTATTTTATCTCTGAAAATGAACTAGAGGGCCCTGAGACTGTCCAGAAGAGTGGCCCTGACTGGTAATGGGCGTTGAAAAGTTATATTTTTATCATTGTAGGTTGTCACTTTTGTAGAAATTTTCGATCAAGGACCTGGAGCTTAAAACTCCTCCGCGCTTCCCCCCACAACCCCCCTCCCCCCTTACAAACCTCCTTGAATGCGCCTTTGAGATGAAAATGAAGTCTATGGAGAGGTCGAGAGATGTCTCGTAACTGGTCCGCTTAAGTCACAGGCAGTGAGGGACTATGAGAATGATGGTACATAATGGTTCGGGAAATTTTCGTTTATACTTTTGGGGCTTAAAAAAGGAACGACAAACGCATCTTTGAGGCGAGTATGTTGAACATGCGCAGGGAATTAAGTGCATTTACCTGATGAAGTGTGCGGAAGTAGTTGTGCCAATACAAACACTGATCTCTAAATGGCATTGTGCTGGCTGCAATCAAACAGTTTTGTACATGAGTGACAAAGAAACAGTAATAATGATCAAGTTTAAACTTATTTACAACTTGATGATATATTTATTGTTGACGAGTTAAATAGCAAATGAAAGATATTCCTTCCAGTATATCCTCCCTTCAACCTTCGCCGGGTCCCAATATGTACAGCCTTATTCTATGCACATTTCTTGAAGGTCTGTTATGAGAATTTTTTGTTACATCTTCACGTGACCCCTTACTCCTAGCCCTATTCGACGATTCTCTCCTTCTCTTCACCTTAAAGATGTAAAGATGTATGCATGCTGACTGAGATATAGGGTGTTAATTGCTCGTGCTTAAATTTGAAAAAGTCATCTGACGTTTTATCGTGAGACAATAAATGTAACTTTTTGAAAAAAAGAGAGTGATAGAAAAAACATAGCATTCTTTGTACAGGTCAGCTCAGTTTACAACCGGAAAACGAAGCCCTAAAATTATGGCTAGAAAAAATTTAAAATTTTTAAATTTATTTTTACTCCTGCCCGCTGAGAGTTGAGAGCTGGACGAATTTGAAACCTGAAAAAACATTTTAAGATTCGTTACTCCAGCATTAAAATTTTTTTCGTTAGCGAAATAACGCGGCTAAGGTATTTGCTCCACCGAAGTAAAGCCGACGTACTACTGATTCAAAGTAAAATTCTTGGAAAAGCGGTTACGATAGGCAAGGCAGCAATAAGGTGTCCCTTTACTGTCTTCTATTTATGGCGAGAAATTCGTCCCAGCTCAAAAAATGTTTAACAGTTTCTTCCGTCGCAAACAGAGCTGCAAAGGCTTAGTTCAAACGTTAAAAATCCCGAAAAGAAGCGAGAAATCGGAGGCAAAATTTTCTCCCTTCGCGCAGATAAGTCTGGTAAAACTTACAGCTCTGAAGGTTGTCAGTAGATTACATGAGTGTTCATCCATTTTCTATTTACTGGGTCAAAAGTCAAAAAAATGAAAGCAAAATGCCACCTTTGGCGGCGCTTGTTTAAAAGCTTGCCTAATTATCTTTCACGACTGAAAATGTGAAGAAAGCATACAACAGTGTCACTTGTGTTTAGTACAAAGGAAGCTTCAGCTTAAACAGTTATTTTTAGTACAACTGCAATTAGACTAAATATCAGCTTTCATTCATGCCAACATCATATAATCAGCAGCCTACTCAACCATAACATGGCCTAAACATTTTTTATTTTGTTTGTGTTTGATCGCCAATCCAGCAACAACATTTGTGTTACAATTAATTCCAAAAATTTCCAAATAAGCACATGATTTTAAGTCATTCGATATTCTTGCCAGGTTAGACGGCTCGCATAAATATTTTATTGGAAGCTAAAAACACATTCGGTCCGTTGACTGAGCACATATTAGAAAGATCGACCCCTCTTCGAAGACTGAAGGTAGCAATCACCTCTTCAGCGACTTAGCCCCGCGAAGACCCGTAAAATAAGGTCAAACCCTTGGGAAAGACGGTTTGATAGTGGATCTTACATTCGCGTCGAGTATTTTGTGGTCGAGCAGTGAATTATATATTGTAGTCGTTTGATTACATAACGCAGAATAAAGTCACATAAAAAATATGCGTGCATACCTGTGGCTGTTGTCAAGACAGCAGCTATGAAGAGAAGCATCACATCGTGAATCTCCATTGTTAATGGCTCTGTAAAAGTGAAAGGGTATTCCAGTTTTCATATATTTCTAATGTAGTCTCAAGCGCATCACATTTCGTTTCTATCAGGAACGTCTTAGGAATAGCACATAAGCGGTAATGTATGTATATCTTATATGTGTTCCAATGACGTATAATGTAATAGATATGGAAAGGCTTAGCCCAGGTGTCTTAAGTTCTCATAAAATATTCGATGAACTCGAATCATCCCTTATCGTGAACAAATACTTCGTACCGTTTGCACTGTAAAACCCCAGCAATCACAACTGTCGAAGACCAACCTGAAGTCTAACCGCCTTTACTCATATTGAAGAATATTCAAGATTTTATCAGGTTCAGTCACAACACATCAGTTAAAAGTCGGATAACTTTTCATTCGTATCATTCCAGATGACTTCCTCTCTTTTAGGACATGAATTATCAAGGCGGCCAAATATCGTTTTTTTTTAATGACCAAAATATGTGCGGATTGTGTTTCCTGTAGTTGTTGAACAGGAACTTGTCCATACTTGAAAACAAAAGTAACGACGTCATTGTTTGGTTTTCGGTAAATAAGGGCAAACACCAAGTCATATGTAAGGATGTCACTTCCAAAAATAACTCTAAATACCCTATAGGAAAGCTCCCGTTCATCCTTATACATAAGCTATTGACAATGTGCATCTCATACGTTTCAAGAAATTGCAACACGCGTTGTATGGGTAGGAGAATATTTTAAAACTTTCTCTTATCACAAAGTTCTGGAGAGAAGTGTGTAAATAGAGATGTGAAGAAATTAACATTTGCAGATTATATTACAAAAATGTCATTCGTTTCGTTCGTTCGGTTTAAAAAAAATATGAAAAACAAAACAGTTTTTAAATGCATGACACGATTTTCATCCGTCTTCCAAGCAAGAATCAGTGTAAAAAGTTAAACTTGCGAGTCACACAGTCTCAATATCCCTAACAACATTGTTGATGAGGACAAATTAATTCGAGATACACGTATGACCATGCTAATTTCGCGACTTGTGTGCTTGTCTGCACGCCGGGGTTTTCCATGTTCATGGCTAAGATTAAAACATGGGGAAAAATGAGAGACACGTGCTAATTAAACAGCTCACCGTTCGCTCTTTGATAGCCTCTTGAAGTTTCTAAATCTTACACAGGCAATAGAAGACACCCGAGCGGAGTTAGTCTCTTTATGTCTTTCTCTACCAAAATATGCCCCACGAGACGTCAGATCGGTGATGAAACCATGAGGGAAATAAGCACATACAATCAGATACAGTTTAATCTTTAATATTCCCTCTGCTATCTTCAAGGAAACCTTCGATCAAGATGTTTGAAGCCAGAGAGAGGTTCTTATCTATTACAACATCGATTGGACAGTGCGCTCTGTCAAACCCTTGTGTGACCTTATGGCTGGGTTTTTTTTTTTTCAAAAATTCAGTATTTATCAATTTTCTGGCGAAAGTGGGAAAAAGAGATAACACTCCTGATACTGGAAAACTAAGAGAGACATCGTTAAATTTTACGACAATTTTGGAAGATGTTATGTATAAATGCCCAATTGAGCCATCCTTTAAGTAGCCTCTATGTGTCCTCGGAGCAGGCTATCTCGAGTTAAGTGGAAAGTACATGCACTAGTTATAAGAAAGAGCCCTGATTGAGCGATAGCTTGAGAAGGAATTGTAAAATTTTGAACGGTCTCGGGTACGACAATGTCATAAGAGGGTAGTGCCTAGGTAACGGGCAAATCCTAGGAACCGATTCTTTTTTTTTCTATTTATTTATTTATTTTTCATTATGCGCACAGAAGAAATTTCTTTAATTTGTCCTCCTCGATTTTGATTCTCGTCTCTGAATATCAAAGTACTCCAAATTATCTTCTCACTGATCGAAACGAACGTTTTTTATAGGCGGAGATCTATCGGTTAAAATTGAATGATCGTTCTTTCCCTTTCGTTTTAGTAACAAATAAATTCTGTTTATGTTCAAAAAGTGACATACTATAGCTCGCATAACATACTGAGAAGTCATGTGGATATCACATGAGGGCTGATGAATCGGCTTTTTCTTTAAATAAAATAAGTAAGATTTTCACTAACCTTGAATATTGTTACGGCTAACGTTGAGAACACGTCTCTAGCAAAGCTGCAACGTAGACTCTTCAGGAAAGAGGACCCAACGAACAACTATCACTAGTGCCAGGTACGATCAAGAACATTATGGAATATTTTTTGTCACGAAAGTGACAAATTCGCCTGTCACGCAAGTTGTAATCTTCCACACAAGACATCCTAAAACTTTGGTTCTGTCTTGGCCACTTTACCATAAAATTAAAATCAATTTATCTCTTTTTGCTTCAAAATATTTTGAATCATGCCCGAGAAATTTCTCTCGGTGATGTCAGAGAAGTGTTATTTTTGGTTGTAACAAACTCTGCGACAGCTTACGTAACTTCCGGAATTGAGAAGCGGCCTTCTTTGAGAAAATGACCCTCTCTTTGATTGCACGGCAGAGTAAGACGAACTTCATGAACGCTTAAAGAGAGCTCGTATAAGGAGAAGTTTCCCTTGGATGAGAGCATAATGGATCAGAACGTGAGCATAAAACGAGAACAGGTGGACCATGGAGTAGGTGAGTTTTTGATTCAGGTGGTTTCATCGACTTAACAACGAGCTCACTTTTCCCCGCAGACCACGAGGTTGACCACCAAGTATGCTCTGTCTGCTTTATTTTCTTCCCTCCTTTAAGCTTAGATTAATTCGTCGCCAATGTAGCCGTTTCTGTAAAATGTAAACACACACAGAGCGAAAAGGAAAGCCAATTTTACTTCCATAAAGGCTGATCTCTGGCTGATACGTTGTTTACGAAGAAAATTACCAATTATCAGTCATCAAAGACTTGATGTCCCACTGAGAGTTGAACCAAAGTAATTAACCATAAATTGGATGATGTTCACTGTATCCGATTTTAACATTATTACGAGATCACACTGTCTTGATACACTATAGCGAAAGTATGTCAGACCTTGGACGTAACAGAACATATCGTGGGATTATCTTAATTTCCACGCCTTTCCTTTGATTCGCTCTGCTTGATGGGCTGTAAAAAATGTTTTGTTGATGCATGATTTGTTGTGACCTGGACAGCGCAACTTCCCTTTACTTCTTTTCGTGCTTTAACACATCATGAACTCTATACTCGTATTTTGTGTTATTTGAAAAAACTCATAGTATGGAAAATAACTGTGTGCTTCGTGAAAAATCCATGTATCTGGTAAATCACTTGCTTCCATAGCGCCTTCTCTTTTGTAACCTTCGTGGAACCCGCCCTCCTCTTTTCTAAAATGAGATTGGTAGCCGTTGGGAAACTGGCGTCATGTACCATTCACAAGTTGTGAACTGAATCTGATATACTGAAAGACGTTGTTTTTAAATTGTGAGTTTGGGCCACTTCCTGATTGGTCCTTCTTTCTCTCCCCCGCCTCCCCCTCATATATTAGCTGTACAGTGATCTGGACAATCATCTTTCAACACTCTTTGAAAAAACAAACATTAGTTTTGATGAACCAACTGAAAAATTTGTATCGGCTACCTGACTGTTTACAGAGTCAGAGACTCCTAGCTCTGTAACACAGCCGCCCAATTATTAACAAACGGACAAATTATGAAAAAATTCTCTTAACAGATGAGGGAAGTTTAAGGCAATCAGGAACTGTAGGAAGGAAGGCACCGGGGCCAAAACAGGACAGAAAAGGATTACGCCGCAAGCGAACAGCCTTCACAGTACGGCAACTGGAGAGGATGCAGTCGGTGTTTCAGTGGAATAAGTATCCCGGAGTAACAATTCGTGAGGCGCTAGCCGCGGAACTGGGAGTCAGTGAGGCGTGTGTACAGGTCAGACCTTGTTATTCAAACATTTAAATTTCCAATATATTATTGTTAATTCTTCTAGTTATACATTTTTCTCGATGTTTTTAGTAGAATGCTTTCTAATGCCACCGCTAATTACCAGGTTCCAGTATCTCTCGTGATGAAGAATAAATACGTTCATTTTCAGCTGCTTTACGTCATTCGCTCAACTTTGACATTCTAAGTCAATCTTTATTTGAGTAGCCGCTCGCTAAAAGCTGAAGCTAGGATTTCCGTCATCTACAATTTTGTCAAATGAACTTCTTAATAGACCTCGCTCACCGTGGAGTCTCTTTGGCTCAGTGGTAGAGCATCGGAGCGCGGAATCCGAAGGTTAGCCTGCAAAGCAGGCGTAATTTAGGCTAGCGAGTGCTAAGTAATTTCATAACGAATATTATGGTCACCACCTTTGATTTTAATGGCAGCGGAAGGCTGGGGAGAGGAAAAATTTATACCAAGGGGGCGGTCGACGGTCAAAAATAAGGAGAGGGATGGGGGTAGGGAAGTGAAGATTTCTCCCCTTCCCCGCCCCCCACTCTCACCGTCCACTCTAACTGCAAATCAAAAATCGCCGGTGGAACAAACGATCGCGAGCTTTTAGTGTTAGCTCGCACTAACAAGACGCCTGTACTGCAGGCTATCCGAAGGTCTGAGGTTCGATTCCTCATGGGTACTCAGAGTTTTTCTTTGTCCCACGCTGGTGACAAGACGAAAAACATATTTCTTTAATTTTAGGTTTGGTTTCAAAATCGTCGATCCAAATGGCGCAAGAGAGAAAGCAATATTCGACCGATACGCTGCGAGGAGCGTCCTGATGTGTGCGCATTTTATACCTATAATAACGCTGAGCGACGTTGGCCTCTTCCACGGGCGCACAATTACTGCTCGTGTCAAGTTAAGTCTCATGCCGTGTTTGGAGTAGTGCCAGTTACAGCTGGCTCCATGAGTGCTGGCTTAACTACTGACAACCGACTTACCACTTGTCCTTCTTTACACCCGACGCATGAACTGTCAAATGAGCAAGGAGAAGAGAGAGAAGAGCGTACTGGAATTCTGAAACCAAATGGTGCAGGCCCAAGATTTACTTATCCTAGTCTAAGTTCGAGAGGTCAGAAAGAAGCTTTGTCAGGAGAGCGTTCTGCAGATGAACTCATCAGTGCAAATGGACTTCTGTGCATGTATTCAATGCCAGGTAACTAAGTTCAGAAATCAAAAGGCTAAGATGTATGAGAAGAGATCAGAAGACCCGTCGCAATTTGCTGCAGATCCATCCTGAATGCCTGTATATATGTAGGCATCCTGAACATTCAATTACATTATAAGAGAAATTGAAGCTATGTAACCAGAATTTGAACCTACGTGCATTAACGATATGATTTAATCTTGGGGAGGATTTATCATTATAATGAACATTATAACTTGTGTTATTAGGCTTTGGTATTTGTTATGTAGTTTGAGCCTCGGCTATGCCTCCACCCATTTAATTCCTGTAATGATTGATCAAATTTTTTGATTAAAAAAAAATATACGAGCTCTACATTTTACGAGAGAAGGACGAAGCTAAAATCATCTGCCTGGAAATTATATGTCTGAGTCATCATTAACTTATCAGAACGAAAATTGCCAGAAATCTATGTCAAACTTTAAGGATAACTGGTAATGTGTTTAGATTCACGTACAATATTTTGTTTAATGAGTTTAGCCCGCTACAACATACTAAGTTTTTCTGATCCAGTCTTAAGCGATCAGTTTCTAGGTATCTACCCACTCAAAAAATTGCTCCAGTTGTTTTCTCTCAAAAAATGTCAAAACGCGTCTGATCATTTCCGATTCCTTTTGGAAATATGCCTTAACCCTAAGAGTGACTAAAGTCTAATTTTTCCTCACAATAAGATCCCCGAATCACACATTAGGGTCACGAGAATAAAGAAAATGATCAGCAGCCAAAAAAGCCCTTGATTGTTCAACAAATTCTCCTTGTCAGCGCGTCAGTAAGTGTTCAGAGAACAATATGGAGAATATGCAAACTAATGTTAGGGTGTAAAGAGTTAAGGTTGGTGATGGTTCAACATAAGACTTTAAAGGCTAACCTCATCTTTTCTCTTCCATATACTATTTTCTTTTTAATTTAGGTGTATCTTAAATAATATGGAGAATATGCAAACTAATGTTAGGGTGTAAAGAGTTAAGATTGGTGATGGTTCAACATAAGACTTTAAAGGCCAACCTCATCTTTTCTCTTCCATATACTATTTTCTTTTTAATTTAGGTGCATCTTAAATACTCTGTTATGTTACGCTTGGAGTTATGAAATTATAGACTGCTTTAAGGCACTAAAATCACTCATAATGTAAATACTGCAGAAAAAGCTTCTCAAGTTACCAGTTCTCTACTGGCCAGCAATATAATATCGAGGACTTTCTCTTTACGAGAGAAAATTCGTCGTGAAAAACGCTGTTATTGGTGGTGAAAAATATCTCAAAAGTGTAGTTTCGATGGAGAAAGTGAGTCCAAGAGAAGTGGAATTAGGAATAATTTGTCAATAAAATCGCGGCACGGTGCAACTGACCCTAGATACGGAAGACCGTCCCGCATTTGTGATAAATTTTCACTTGGGTTGTTTAATGTAATCCGAGATTGCATCAAGCTTGCCTTACTAAGCTCAGAAGGCTCACGCGGCCCTTTCAACATATACCAATCAGAATCAAGCTACAACCAATCTTGCCTTGTTCACCTGCGTTTTCCCGCGCTTTATGTAGCTTGATTGTTTTTACTTTTAGTTGTCTCATTGTAAAGTTTTACCTTCATTGTTAATGTTTACCTTCGTTCTGAAGGCTGTTACGCTAACATCGATTGTGGTTTTACCTGAGCGGCGCACTATTACCACAAAAAATGTTTCAATCAATTTTATCAGACAGTCGGACAGAAGCCGAAATGTAACACTTCATCCATTATCTACCCAGTTTTCGAGTAAATAATAACCTCCAACTAATAAATTTCTTTAGGACTATCCTCGTTTGTTTACTTCGTTTAGTTTAATCAGCTTTTTCAAGTAAGTGCGAAAGTCGATAGCTGAGTAAATTAATAAAAGGGGTAAGTTTCTAAAGAAACTGTGGTGCTGCCGCGTCGATGGGAGGGTATAACAGGGTAATTTAGTTTTATCAACTGAGTTGATAACGTAAATTGGCTACCTTAAAGAGTCTAAAAACTGATGTTTTGAGCATTAGCCCTTCGTCAGAGCGATTGACAAAGGACTAACGCTCGAAACGTTAGCTTTTAAACTCTTTCCGGTGGTCAATTTACGTTATTAACTCAGATGAATATATTACCTTGTCCAGTCAAGAGCCATGTAACTCATGGCTGAAATTTGTCTTTTTCGAAAAGTGAAATGAAATAAAAGAAACATATTTTGATTTGTTCTGCTCTCAAAACAAGAATAAGTCTTATCTTTTTTTAGGGGAGTTATGGGGCAATTTTTTTTCCAGTTTCAAAATCGCCGGACTCACCATATCATAGCAAGATTGAAGAAATTTTCAAATGATTTCTGGAGCCTAATATTCAGTTTACAGATGTTATTATTCATACTGTTATTAAGGCTTTACTCGGGGCCAGAAATTAAACAAAATTATCTACTTGAGTACTCCATGAGGTGTTTCAATCTCATGCGGAGAAACCACTATTGTCGATGTTGGTGTCAGGCAACTAGAGGACCTGCAGAACTTACGAACCTATTGATCGACATGGGTCAAATGAATAAGGAAATTGGAAAAATTATTAAATTTTTATTCTCTTTAACCGGCATCTTTAAAGACTTTTCTTTAAACGGAGGGGTTCTATATCATAGTGTTCACATAATTATCTTCCAAATGGAATATTGATTTTTTTCTTTAACCGTGGATTCACATGGATGCACATGAAGGACCTCTTCTAACAAGAAAATCGTCTTTTTGCGTGCGCGTCCAGACCACGTGCAAAGCTTTCGCTGCAAATGAATGATGTGAGGTGGACTGACATAAAGAACTTTTTAGAGCATTTTTCAGTTTAAAGTGTCTGTTCGCCTCTTCATGGGCCACGTTATGTATGTAATTAAGGCAGTTAAGAATCAGACTGGAGATCTTTTAAAGCAATTGATCCATTATCTTAGCAATTTATGGTGCTGAGGCTCAAGCAAGTACGCCGGAAAGAACGGAAATGTCGAATATAGATCTTCTTAGATATGTGACTTCTTGGAAACGTTCATTGTTAATTAAAACTTATCGTAATAAATCTACAACTTTGACAAATCCTTTTTGAACGTGATAAAAGGGAGAGAAAGTGCAGCGCTCTGAAGCGTTGTCAATGAGGAAGAAATTACATAACAATTTTGGCCTAGAGGCTGTCACATTAAAACTGAAAATAAACTCTGGATTTTTTTTCCCGCACTCAACGGACCTCGCGCTTCATCCGCGATCATTCGAGGAAGAGAAGCACGGAAAAATAGGAGGTACCTGTACAAGTTAAACGGAAAACTGTAAAACGAAGTTTAGATTCCTAGTTTTACAGATGTGTTGCAAAGATTAATTTCCGCTGAAGTTGGCGGAGAACACCAAATAAGCGCTGGTAGATTGATTGCTCTCTAACTGTAATATTTTTAACACACTATTGTTCGTTCAATTCTATACATCCTGTGTTCTCAAATTCATTTATTATAATTCATTCATTTTTAAAATGTAGGTGACGAGGACTTCTAGTTTTTCGGTTTTCATATGGAAATTTAAGTCGTTCTCCGCAACGAAGTTTATTGCGCAAACAAAAAAGCAAACTGAAAAACTTCCATGCTGGACAAATTATTTTTGTTTCATTTCGCAACGAACCACTCTCTTGGCATGAAGTCGGAAATCAGAAGTAATTAAAATTTTCATTTCAATAAAAGATGTTCTTATCAAAATTTCATCTCCCTTTTTTTTAGACCCCTTCTTCTATTCGCGATATTAACCAGGTTATCTTTTAATCAGAAAATTGCGCTGAAAGCGAATCTGTTTCAGTTGTCAGTTCTCAGCTGTGTAAACTCCTCAGCATCTGTCTTACGGCCTCATTTATTTCACGCAAGCGCCAACAATAAATGAGAGGGTTGAGAGATGAATTGACAAAGATTAAAGTTGCCCCAAGTTCATACGATAAGCGAGTCGCGCTCGTGATTCCTTTGGCCTCTATAACAGCGACGGTACACAAATATGGCGTGAAACAAACAGCTAGTAGACAGTAAACCCAGAATGAACCCACTGCTTGCTTCTTAATTTTTTGTACGTTTATCTCTTGTTCGTCTTTGTCCAAAGCCTGACTGACAGACGAGCTTTGCACTCGTATGACCGACCTGTGATGCAACACGATACGATAAATGTTCATGTAGGAATACGAAGCAATACAGAGACTTACGCTGATGATAGTGATTGCAACTATCTTCACAAGTTCATGTTGCCATAGCCACAGCGAACCAAATGTTGAACTGGATAACCAAATACCAACGAGAAGCAAAACTGCGCGTCTTATCGTTATGAGCTCTCTGTATCTTAAATGAAGACGAAGAGCTAGATACCGGTCAACACTAACAGCGGTAACAGTTAGCAGAGATACGATACAAAGGGCGTTCGCTGCGATTTCCACCGTAATTCCAGCATCGCAGAATAGCGATGGATCCCGTATAACCTTGGCTAATATTTGCGAAAAAAACAGAGGATGGACTATTAAACCAACGCCAAGATCGGAGAGTGCCAAACCGAAAAGAAGCGTGCCAGATGGGGTGTGAAGCGTTGGTGTCCGGCGAATAGCAAAAAGGATTACCAGATTAGATGCAATAGCCGTTATGGAAAACACGATGTTTACAACGCAGTTGAAAATGTACCAAGCGGGAGAAAATTCCCCCATGTTAAAATGCGTGTGGGTAAAATGATAACAAATATCTCTCTCAGAGTCTTCAGTTTTGTTTCCTATCTTTAAAACCATACTCGAGCTTTGATGTCTTTGGGTCCTTGCCCGGATACGAGCTAGTTTCAACTTTATGTCCAAAGAAACAAGAAATCCCTTTTTATCTGAGGTCCAAGCATGAAAAAGTCGAACAAGAAATTCAACAGCTTCTCCAGCAACACTTGTCCGGTGAACAGAAACAACAATGATACTGAAAAGTAGGGAGTATTTGCATCGATTTCAAAGTAGATTTAGAAGAAAAATGTTGACGGCAGCTGTGGGTATTGAGGTGTCAATTGGAGATGATCCAAATGCGGCAATATATGTCGTTACATCTGTCAGTCAATTGTGAGAAAACAAACTTTGCAGTTGATCTGATGAGTTTAAGCTCTTTCCTATCTTTATGAGGTGACTTTCATTTTGCCTGGAAACGGAAATTGAGCAAAAACAGCTTTACCTGACAAGTATGTGACTAATGACTGGGAGTTTAAAATTGCTTCTATGATTACGTTTAAATAAAAAAAAGAAATTGTTTGAATGAGCCTAGGACAAAGCACAGTGATTCATAATTAAAAAAATCCCAGAGGTGAAAAAGGATTGAAATCTCTTTCCTTAATGACGAATCACGACTCGCATATAGACTCGCTTCGAATTGGTTTTACTAAAGAAGGATATCAAATTCTGCTACTCAGGAAAAAAGTTCTCACGTTTTTAAAAATTAGAAGTGCCAGCAAGAATTGATTAGAAACACTTGTATAATTTGCCTTCTTCAGTTCGCAATGCGCATAGAGCTGCCGAGTGGACGAACAACAGGATTCTCGTTTCAAATTCAACGCATTGTCCAAGGGATCAACAAGAAATTGTGGAAAAAAATCAACAACACTTGATAATTAGTAGGTGTCATTATAATCTTGAAGACTATGTCAGCTGGAAATCAGTCCTTAAAAACGAGGATTAGAGTGGTAAAAAAATGATCTGTGTAGGTTTTGCATGCGCACTTACTTGCTGAAGGGGCCTGTGTCGAGTCGGAGGCACGAGAAATTTTAAAGAAGTAAGCATAATGGCTAAGATGTTACAAAAAAAATGAACCCGCAAATCTTTCTTTATTTACCAGTCATTTAAAAAAAAAACCTTAATTTTTCCGCTTGCGTTGGTATCGTCTTTCACGTAGGTCATATTCGATCGATTTATTTATGCTAAGATAGACCGTAGAATGTATTTCGAACACAAGACGCCAAAATGGAGGATGATATGGTGGATCATAAATCCGTTGTATAAACATTTTACTCATTATCAGTATTTTTCCTCACCCTTACGAGGCGGAAAAATACTTTGCAACCCGCAAAATATCTGCGAGTGTTATTTTTTAACCGTTGAATCAGGCAACAACGACCAAGAAATATTTTGTGACCGGATCTTTGTTAAAAGAGTGGTAAATTTTCTGCTCAGTGGCGAAAAACGAACGAGTTTCTTGCATGTACAAGACCACGCAGTAGATTCAGCATGCTTGAATCGTTGTTTACTAGAATTAACGGCCGGTATTGAAGACTTTTAAAATTCCGAAATTATACGATTATTGAACGTGTACTTTTAGGAAATATCAACACTTAAAAATAATATTAAGTGTTCGAAAAACGAAGCGAAAAACTTGCAAATTTCTAGTATTTACGAGACCAGTGTGGAAGAATTACCTTACTTGAATTATTGTTTACTAGAAGCGTAGCTTTGTGTTGAAAATTCTGGAAATCGTACGATTTCGAAACATTGAACAACATTTCTAGGACATATCGACACATCAAAATAATATTTACCGTTTAGTGAAGATTACCTAATGTCGCAAAGCCTCAGTTCAAGTCGGAAAGCTTAGTTTTGTTTTAAACCAAAATTAACATCCCCTTTTGGAATGAAGTATCGTCAACTCCAAAACTAATTTTTTCGCTTGAAAGAACAACATGCTCGTTGTTTTTCGAAACTAGTGTAATTTAGCACGTATTATTTTCATTTTGAGCTCCAAAAGGTTTATCTCAATCGGGATAGAGCAGGGAAATATCTTGAAAGTTTTGAAACCTCGCGGCTGAAAGGGACGGGTGTAATTTGACGGTGAAATTGCACCCGTCATGTGATGGATGCACGGCTATGCAGTACATAAGTATTTTTGCCATAGTAGCTCCTTCGGAAATAGGTAGGCTTTGCGCACGCGCAATGTTATAAAACCTAATAATATACATGAAAAAATTACTCAGTTCTGATTGGTTAAGATAAATGCAGTTTTTAAGTAATTCAGTGCAGAAGAGAGTTAATTCAGTGCAAAGAGGGTTAATTCAATGCAAAGAAAGAAACAAACCATACATTCTGATTGGTCAATAATCAAAGAAACTCACAGATAGCCAATCAAATGCGAGCCTTGGATGTCGCAACATTTGGATACGCTGAAAATTTGCGAGCGAAACAATGGCGGGTGTTTTAAGAAGGTTTTCTTCCGCTACCGCAACAACAATACAGCAGCTGAAAAACAGCTCTATCAATGAAAACACGGTAAAAAGCACTGCTTTTTAGTTGTCAGTTTGGAAGAAGTGGTGTTTGGAGAAGGAAATTGCCGCGAAAATCGAAAACTACGAGCCGACCCAGTTTAACAGTTTGCTCGAGCGATTCTACGCCGAAATTACAAACAAACATGGGGAAGATTATGAACCGGAAAGTCTGAAAGTAATGATTACACCGCTTGATAGATACTTGAAGAACAAAGGCTATAAACTGTCCATTATTCGTGACAGAGAATTCAGTTCCTCCAAACAAGTACTGGACGGAAAAGCGAAACAGCTTCGCTTAGCTGGTCGCGGCAAGCGCCCAAACAAAGCTCGACAACTATCCGAAGAGGAAGAAGAAATTCTCTGGAAGAGCGAGAAACTCGGTGGTAAAACCCCAGAGTCCTTAATTCATACAATGTGGTGGCTACGTACTCAACAATTTGGTCTCCGTGGAAGGCAAGAACACCATGGAACGGAGACTGGAGGATTTCAGAATCATGAAAGGTGATGACGGCCGTGAGTTTGTTGAGTTTGCTGAAGGGCCAACGAAAACCAGACCTGGAGGTTTGAACGCAAAGCCAAGACAGTTTCAGCCCAAAATGTTTCAGACCGGCGGAGAGAGATGTCCAGTTGCGTTATTCCGTCATTACATCAACCGTAGGCCTCGCAATCTCAGGGCGAGTGGTCCATTTTACCTCTCGATAAAATACAACAGCGGACCTAGCGATGAAACTTGGTACAAAGTCCAGTCCATGGGAGAAAATAAAATCAACTCCATGATGAAAAATATTATCTCCCAAACCTCCCTTCAGTCATCCGAGAAGCGGTTTACCAACCACAATGCCCGCAAAACGCTCGTTAGCAAGATGAAGAAAGCAAATCTCGAGAGGTCGTCTATTGCAAAAGTCACCGGTCACAGAAATATCCAGTCTTTAGATGACTACGATGAAGCGAACGCCGTCTTGAAGACGAACAGCGACAGCTTTCGTGGGCCATTTCAAAGGGAAATAGTACACCAAAACCCGTGCCGGTGGCGAGTAGTTCATCTGGTCCTTGTGCTTCAAATGCAGTAATTCCACACATGATGAGCTCTCAAGCGCAGAATCTGATAAATTCCTTCACTAACTGCAATGTCACATTCAACCTCAACAACAAGGCCTCGCCTGATAAACCTCGCAAACGACGATTTCATTTCATCGAAAGTGATTCGGACACAGACTGAACAATTCCTTGAACTGTTTGGCCGGACTTTAAAATTTTTGCACCTTAAAGGTGTGAAAATTTCATTTTATCTTATTGTTTTGATCGTAAGCGATTGTTTATGACCGAACGCACAATGTCACTTGCAGGGTTTGAATAAATTATTTTTACACGCGATGCGCGCGCTTTTCTTCTGCATAATTATGATAAGCTACCTCGTATTTTTTCATGTACATTATTAATATGTAATCACATGATTTTTCTCGTGCAATTTGGAATAAATTAGCACTTGTAAATTTTAGCACTCGCCCTACGGGCGCATGCAATTTTGTTATTCTTTGAAAAAATTTACTCGTGCTTATTTACTCCAAATTGCACTCGAAATCATATGATTACCTATACAAATTAAGAATTTTTTCATGCTTAGCGTGCGTATATCGAGTTATAGATGCACGCGGGAAGTTTGGAGAGCACGAAAAATGCGTAAGAGTAGCTCGAGGCGAAGCCGAGAGCAACTCTAGCTTTTTGAGTGCTCTTCAAACTTCCCGCGTGCACCATAACTCGATATACGCACAGCTAAAAGCATGAACAAATTCTTTTATAACAGAGCGACAACAAGAATGTGCGCGAAGAAGCCTTTTATTGTGATAGATTGCAATTGTGATTGTTTTGGTTTTGGTAAATTCCCAATTAACGACTGTGTATTTTATTCCTCAGGTTGAACAAATTTAATAACGACAGTAAAAACGGAAATTTTACCTTTAAATGTTGTTTATGACCAATTGGTGACTTTTTTGTTCCCAGTAAATGTCTGTCTTTCGGCCAAAATTTGCTGCAGCTGGTCTTCCGACAAATTTGCGAAACGTGCAACTTGCGAGTTTTTTCGGCTTTATTTTAGTTGCCTGTTGGATCAGGACCTAAAAGGTCAATGCCGATAGAAAAATTGGGCAGTTCTTCGCTGGTTTCTTCCATATTTCAAAGAGAAGGAAAACTGCTCTGCAGCTTAACAGGATGGAAACTCTGAAGCCAGGTTGAAAAAAATGCTCTCGTCATCTTATTTACGCACGGGCGTGCGTTAATAAGGATTTTGTTCATAGCGGCTCAAAAGGACTAATATAGGGCAAGCACGCGCGTTATGTTATAATAGTGTAATTGCTGATAATTGCTCAGGTGCTGATAGAGATACACGCGCTCTGATTGGCCGAGGATTGCGTCACATCTTTCATATGTTTAGCAGAGGCGCTAAATTTCAAAGTGGCTGCCTCACGTTTGGTCAATGTTTGCGAGGGAGTGATGAACGCAATAAAAGAAAATTCAATTACAAAGTGCAACCACTGAGTTTGGCGGAATACTTTTCAAAAGAAAGTTACCGTATGAAGTTTTTGCAGATTTAAATGAAAAAACCTGTTAAAATCCTTGCTTAGCTAGTAACAAAATATGCGGAATGCTTTCTTCATTGACAGAATTTACAACAGAATTCGAAAGCACTTGAGTATTTATGCTCAAACAATTATTCGCCTCAGGTTTTGCAAACATTATTGAATAGTTCCCTGGACTTCATCTCGGGCACAACATTTACTGAGCCTAATGCGAATAATAGTTAAAACAACCTAGTTGTCAATCTGTTAATCCCGGGAAGGGAACAATCATGAGAGACTGAGACATGAATCCAACGAAATGGTGTTATAAGTTTTTTCTTTAATGAAACTGCAGAATATGTAAAGGTGAAGTGATAAAATCCGTTCGTAATGAAAATCTATTTATAAAGGCTCAGAAAATTAAACAAAAAACACAGGAAGCAGGAAGTTTTAGCATTTGACAGATCTGAGGAAAAAAAAAACGAACGAAAGTTCATATTTTTATTCCATGACGCAATTACAACTGAAACTTAACAGCCTAGAGACGAGTGCTAACGAGCATCTCTGAGTAGAATAAATTATCGACAAATAATAAATGAATTGGTACTCTCAAAAACTGTTTGACTTTTAACCCCACTCATATTCAATCGCCATTTTCTCTTGGGTCTGCGCAGACGAATAGTTTGGCAGTTTTTCTCACTGCCTTACGGATATCTCGCAAACGCCAACAATAAACCAAAGGGTTTAGAGAAGAGTTTATAAAAACCAGTGTGGCAGTTATATCATACGCAAACCGAATTCCGAGCGTTAATCCAATCTGAGTTATTGCAGCCACAACGCACAAATATGGCAAGTAGCATACAATGATAAAACAATACACCCAGAACGTACTAAGCGCATGAGATGTAAAACTCGCCATGTTTATTGTCTGTTCTCTGGTCCTTCCCTGTTCCAAGAAACTTTTCAACGCTACCTCGTGATGATAGTGCCGTGAAACAACGCGATAAATTTGAAAATAACAGAACGTAGCGGCTGAAAAACAAACCAAAATTATTATGATCGCATTCCCTTTGACCATGTCGGGTTTATAAAGCCATAATGTACCAGAGAAAGCCCCGATAATCCAGATGTTTACCAAAACGAATATTACACGTTTGATTGTGATAAGTTCCTTGTATCTAAGGTGAAGGCGAAGAGCCAAATACCTGTCCAAGCTAACGGCTATTACAGTCAAAAGAGAAATGATGCATAAAGCGTTTGCCGTAACTTCTACTGTGATTCCAGCTTCGCAGAAAATGTTTTTGTTCTGGGTCACTTTGCCAAATATTTGCGCGAAAAACAGAGGATGAACAAGCACACCGACTCCAAGGTCAGACAGTGCGAGACCAGAGAGGAGTGTGTTGGACGGAGAATGAAGCGAGGGAGTCCTTCGAATGGCGACAAGAACCAATAAATTGGCGAGGCAAGCAGTGATGGAGAAGAGAGCGTTTAACACACAAATTAGTATGCACCAACCAAGATAGATGTCTGCAATTTCGAAGTCGATAGCGCTGAAGTGATAGCACGAAAACGTTGCGTAATCTTGGGTGATGTTTTCCGTTTTTTCCGAAGTATTGGTGTCTGTAACCCTAGGGTTTTTTGGCTCCATACTTCTTAAGTTGCCCGTCAAAGAACTTGTGTTAACAACGGGTCAATTCTCTTCTCATTAAGCGCTGATGCTGAATGGGCGTGTGCTAATTTCAATGCGAGCTTTTATCTGGTATTCACTGTCTAAAAGAACACAAAAGCGATTGTTGGCTAATCTCAATATTGGCAAACAGGAAGCTATGAATAAAGCCAGGTGTTTATCGCATCGCCTTAAGTCGAATTGCTAGCGGTTTCAGTTGTTCGTTTTCTATATATCTGTTACAGTAACTATGCAACTAAAAGGCAACGTTAAAAATGCATTGTGTTTGTACCAAGTTTTATCCTTAAAGACAGTCTCCGTAAAGAGAGAATCGTAATGGAGGTGTAGCTAACGACAGTCGTTCATTATGCTATGAATATGTCACCTTCGAAGCGCGACGTAGACGATAATTTTAATTAGCTTCGGAAACTTGAAATATAAAGAAAAAACTTCAAACTGGTTATAGACAATCATCACCACTATGAGACTTCAAAGATGGAAGGTATTTTTTCGGCCTTTCTCGAAAAAAATTAAAATTGAAATTAACAATATTGATTCCATTTGTCGTTTACTTACCAACGTTAAATTGAAATTAGATTAAATGTTTCTTTGAGTAAACAACGATAACGAGCTCTAAAAGCAGTTTAGTACTGGAGTATGATGTACCTTGGTTAGATTTAGCGCCTCAGGATGACTTTAAAAACAGAAAAGCAAGGCAGAAATTCACTATTCTATAAACAATGAGATATCTAAATTGAAACTGAAATATCGAAGTTATCTGGTAAAAGAATCACGTTTTGACTTGTGCTTAACGTCATTATCGACCAAAATGATTAAAAAGACTGTAGTCATGAACATGTGACGAAAATTATATCGCACATCTTGCATTTTAATGTATTATCATATAGAGAACAAGCTGCTCACTATTTAAATACTATTTCCAGACAGGTGCAAATAAGAGCCCGGGAATGAAATTGTTATGGGACCAGCACAATTTGCCCCCCTATAAATTAGGGGACTGAATATAAAATCTCTCACTTTCCCTACCCAGTTCTTTCTCCAACCGTACCCGACTTTAAATCCTGTCTCCGGTCTGATGATGAACGAGGATTGGCATTCTATGCATCTCTCTCCTGTTCTCCGCATTTTCTTTTCCCACCCTCCCCACCCCCTCCTCATCGTACCCCTCTCCCTCCCCCACTCCCTTTTTTCCCCAATGAC